CTACTAATGCTTGTGCTTTCTCCTCCTCCAACTTCTTCTATTCATTAAAAAATATTACTGATTTCATCCATTCCAGGAAATGTTCATTTTGTTCATCTCAGGCGTCATCCTTGAGTCCTCACTCCTTTTGGGAATGCCCGAGGTTCAGGAGCAAGGGGTCTGAGCTTCAGTTGGATCCCCAATGTGGTTCTAGGTTCATCCCCACTATCTTTTTCAGGGAGAGAAGAGAGCTGTCATATCCGTAACACTTACAGTGAACTCACTGGGTAGTAACTCTCAGCAAAAATTCCTCTTTGAAAGCATATTGTAAGGGAGATAAAACAAATTCTTACAGTGGAACTTCACACACTGTAACAGTTGGGTGAGGAAATGCTCAGAGGCTGCTGTGGAGGTGGCTATCTGCCCCTCCTTTCCAACCCACTGGTATATACTCTTTTCCTGACTTCTCCTATGCACAGTCAGGCGCCAGTCACTCACCAGGGACTCTGATTCTTCCACTGAAATGCCTCTTGGAGCCCTTCTCATGCATTCCCTCAGCCACCACCCAGCCCAGATGCATCATTTAAAAATCTGGATTTCTCCAGGAAGCTCCTTGCTTGGCTTCCTGCTTAAAGCGTCTCTGCCCTGCAACCATTGTGCATGATTCACCATTCTCAAGACTGAAGTCACTTACCAGCTCAGAAACCTTCTGAGGCTCTACATTTGCTCCTTTCATCAGGTGTAAAGCCTTCTGCTTGAACTGTGAGGCCCTCTATCACCTTCTCGTATCTTCTTTTCATATTCTACCTTCTCCACCATGCCCAGGGTCAGGTCTGCCCAAGTGGGGCAGATTTCCTCCCAACTCTATCGTGTACCATTTCCCCCCAGTTCTCTACCTTTCTCATGTTTGCAAACCATCAGAAATCCATACTCTCCTCAGCAAATCCTACCTGCCCGTCTTTTCCAAGAAGCTTTTACTGATTCTGCAAGTACCTTAATTTCTTTCTTTCTTTTTTCTAAAAAATTAATTTATTTTATTTATTTATTTTTGGCTATGTTGGGTCTTTGTCGCTGTGCACAGGCCCTCTCCAGAAGCATGTTAATTTCAATTCATATGACTACTGTCTACTTGATAGGTGCTGGGGACATGAGGATGAATTATGGTCTCTGCCTCTTGGTTTCTTTCTTCTCCCCAACACCCAAGAGAATGAAAAAACCAGAAACACCCGTAAAGTAGGTACTTGAAAATTCTAACCCAGGGATTTAGAGCATGTGCAGATAAAGAATTTGACACCGAGTGAAACGGAGCAGGACCCTTTGGTCTTTGTCCCCCAGGTCCTCTGCCTGCCTTTTGTCTGTGGAAAAACTTTAGCCAAAAAATAAGTTTAATCAGAGAAGTGAGAACATGCAGAAACAAAGGAAAATAGTCAAAGGAGACCAAATAATAGTAGTTTAGTCATTAAGCATAGTCAAGGACCTTTAGTTCTTTCTCAAGGGCTATAGATAATATCCTGAGCCCTATCCTGTGAGCTGTGTTATAGATACTGAAACCCCTGCCAGGTGGAAGAAGTTAACTACGTGATGACCAGGCTGTAGCCATGACATAAGCTGCCACGATTCCAAGAACTGGCCTCAAGGAAATGGGAACAAATAGACCCTGGAACTGAAGACTAACTATACTTGAAACAATCAAGATGATGCTGGTCAGACCACCTCATGACCAATTTCAAGATGACGGTCAGAGCTGACTGTGCTGTTTCTGCATGCAGCCCCCTCCCTCCGCCTATAAAAGCTCTTGCCCCCTGATTGTCAGGAGTAGGCCTTTGGACAGATGTCTGCCCTTCACTCACTCCCCCAACAGTTGTAGGCATCCAAAATAAAGCAAACTTTCCTTTCCACAAACGTGGCCTCTTTATTGGCCTTTGAGCAGCGAGCAGCTGGACCCCACTTTCGGTTACAAGAGGACAGATGAAAATTTCCTTGTGTCTGTTGGTTGATACTTGCTAGGCTGAATATAGTGTGTGTGAAGACTAAAATATAATAAAATATGAATCCTAAAAATAGAATGGTGTATCTTCTCCTTTTGCAATGAAGAGCAAAGTCAGATCAATGTAGATGTATGTTTATAGACAAGGAAAGGTTGCCTTTGTTTAAAAAAACCTTTGTTTAAAAATCAGAATATATGTTATGGTCTAATCTTTGTTTAAGAAAAAGCTCTAAAACATTGAAAGAAGTTTGGAAAGATATACTCCAAATGGTTTTCTTTGGGTGGAGGAATTATTGGTGATTAAATAAAACACTTCCTTTTAATCCAAACTTTCTGTAACAAGCAATTTCATTGTCATAATTAGAAAGACATTTTCATTTTGGGAAAAAGCACAGAAACAGGGACATCAATTTGGTACAAATGCAGATGGATCACTTTAGAAACAGTTCAAAATTGAATATTAAAAGGCCTTCTGTGGGCTTCCCTGGTGGTGCAGTGGTTGAGAGTCCACCTGCCAATGCAGGGGAAACGGGTTCGTGCCCTGGTCTGGGAAGATCCCACATGCCACGGAGCGGCTGGGCCCGTGAGCCATGTATATGCCGCGCAGAGCGGCTGGGCCCGTGAGCCATGGCCGCTGAGCCTGTGTGTCCGGAACCTGTGCGCCACAACAGTGAGAGGCCCGTGTACCGCAAAAAAAAAAAAAAAAAAAAAAAAAAAGGCCTTCTGTTTTGTTTTAATATAGTGTGAGGACTGGAACAGGTCATATCTACAGGGAGATACAGCAGATATGGACTAAGTGATTGCAGTGTTTCAGGGTAAACATTATAAAAATAAACAAATGAGCCAACTAATGGAATGTGATAGACAGGATGCCTGAGTAATTACTATAAATGCTGTGCCCCTTTTCTGTCAGAGACCCAGGAAAGACTTTAACCTCTAGGTCTATTAACCTGGCTTCTGTCACTGGTCAGAGTTAGTGGCACTTTATGTTCTAAATCATAAATGCATGATTTGCCCTTGGTATGCTCTAGCAATTTTGTTCTCTTTCCATCAAAGTTTGTTATCTCATTGAAAGAATGTAAAATGTATGGATTGGTGATATTACACAGGTGGGTGTCTACAGTCTTGAGAATTTGACATGCAGGTGGGAATTTTACCATGTGGGAATTTACTTGAGTTCTTAGACTGCCAACAGGTCAGCCTCAGCTGTGGTCCCTATAAATAAAGTTCAGGAATGACACCGAATTCTGGACTCTTGGAACATCCTTGACTATGTGATCGATCCTGTTTTTTGGTGTCCTTTTGGGGGCATATCTACTGTGGAGAAACATCTGTGGGGTAAGTTATGCTTTCTGATGCCTATTTGAATTTTGCTTACCTGATTCACAGAGTATCTCACTGGATTGTTGCAGAATAATGAGTGTAAGCGTTCAGCATTTTCAGAGTTCTTTTAGATTTGGAGAGGGGGTAGTGGAAATAACAGGAATGAGTGATAAAAAAAAGAGATGAATGAATTTAAAGGAAAAAAAAAACCAAAAGTGAAAACAGAGCACATGCACCCTATTTCTCTCTGTCCTTAATCTTTTTCCCCTCTGATGATCAGAATGTGGGGATGACAGACATCAGTGAAAATAAAGCTGTTTGGTCATTTGTCTCTGTGTCATCTCAGTAAGTGCTGGGTTACTCTCCCATCTGCCTCCCTACCTTTCTGGACTTCATCCTCCATGTCACCTTAAGTCCTCCCATCTTCAGATCTAGTGTCAAGGCAGTGGGACCTCATGAAGTGGGAGGACCAGAGCTGCAGACTTCAGCCCAAATCCAACTCTCATGGCTTTGTAGGATCCATCTTTGCTCCAAAGTACTTTGGTTTCAAGATTCTATGAAGAGCTTTAGACAGCATTTCTTGAAGAGTGTTCCAAGGAACTAATGAAGTGGCCAAATAAATTTGGCCCAAAAAAGTGGATGATCAAATAAATTTGGGAATCAGAGGGTTAAACAAACTATAGAATTTCTAGGAACTTTTACTAAATTAGTGTGTATTTTAAACCTATGAGGGGATCTAGGTTGCTGCACCTATCCTTTTTTGTGATCCTCAAACTCCTCCCCACATTTATTTATTTATTTATTTATTTATTTATTTATTTATTTATTTATGCTGAACAACTCAAAGGGCTGTTATTCCTTAGAACACACACCAGGAAATATTAGCCCAATGTATTACTTTTCCCAGTGCCTTCCCATTTTAAAGGAGGACTCCTGGGAGTCTATACATTAACCAAAAGGAATGAGACTCAAATGGAAGATTTTTCAGACCATCTATGGCCAGTGGATACTGGGAGGCAGAAGAGACTTGAAGCGCTCACATTCTATCACTTATGTATTCCACTGGAGTTCACTGGAAATTGGATGATACTTGATTTCAGAGGGTCTGGGTTCTGGTCCCTTATTATGGCTCTTTGTACCAATTCCTTCCCCACTGCATAAATGGGCAGGGCGGTGACTCAGGAAGTCAGCCTACTCAGAGAAAGGGAGAGAGGAAAAACCTCTGTCACCAAGGAAGGGCTATAAGAAATCCAGCTCTACTACTGAACTTTTTTTTGAGGATATTTGTTTGCTTGTTTTGTAACTTCTCTTTGCTGCCAAGGAGTCCTTGATATCCTTTATTACTCATTGTGTGTGTGTGTGTGTGTGTGTGTGTGTGTAGAGAGAGAGAGACACACATACACACACACCATGATTTGTCTGGGTTTCAGTTGTCCCTAGCAATACCCCAAGTTTGGGCCACATGAATGGGGTTTGGAGATGGAACTCTGATACATTTCAGTTAACAACAAAAACACCCTAGGTCTACCCAGATGTAAATTTGATTCCTCTTTGGAGCACTTATAAGCACCAAATTAATTATTCTACCTTTTTAAAACTTATTTCTGAAAAACAGGAACAGACAAGTTTTAAAAGCCGATGCTTTATGAGCAGCAGGTGTTACTTGATAATCATTAGCTAAAGGAAAGGTAACTTTACTGGCAAAGTTGCTGCTAGGATTAGGTACAGCTCTTAATTATTATTTAGATAACATTTCCTTGGGGGAAGTAAAGCCATTCTATCAACTCCTCATTCTGGGGATGTGGGTCAGTATACTATTTATTAATTTCTTGATTGTCAAAGAGATTACTGACTGCTGCATTAACTTCTTATGTGCGGAGACTAACAGGAGCAGAAAGCAACAGGAAACAGTGTCTAGGTTTTGTTTTTAAGGTCATGTCTGTGGGTAATATTTTTTAGAGACCAAGTTCTTGAGATCACACCAAGGAATGAAGAACAAATAAAAACTGTGGTGGAACTGGAGGCTGAAGAACATCTTCAGGTATCTGTCCTGGAGGGGGCTTCTGTTTCCCAGTGTGAATACTCCACAGTTAGACACAGTGACTAAGATCTCTTACTTTGGATTGTATCTTGTCTTCTCTGATGAGAAGTATGGAATGCTCACTCATGGAGCTGGAATCCAGAACTCCTGGGCTCTAGTCCCAACTGTATGACATTGGGCAAGTCATCTACCTTCTGCATCTCAGAGAAGGTAAGTGACTTGCCCAATGTCATACTGACTTCTCTCCCATTCAGTGTAATGTGGATAAATATACCATTCTTCTATCTCACAGATGTTTTGTAAGAATGAAAAGAAAAATCAAATGTGAAAGTTATTTTGAAAAATTATTGAATACCTTTAATGCATTATTTCCCTCCTAAATAATTTATAGTATTAATATTCTGTTATGAAATGATTTGGATCACCTGAATGTCAACTGTTAAAAAAAATGCCATAGTTTTAAATAATCTTTACCTTCTTCCAGTTTTAATATTTAACCATATGGGGGGAAAACCATATAACACATATGCTGATGCTTGGACATTTAAAAACACTTCTTGCAACATCATAGCGATTCCACAATGATTCTAGTCTTGGAGGCTTGAGGTAAAATAGATAACGAATTGATTTCTTGAAATCTATCCACGCTGAGCTGTCCGTTTCCCTGGAATGACCCAGTCATTGCCTTGGCCTTTTATCCCTTTCAGCTTGATTTCTGGAAATCACCCACCATCCCAGGAGAGACAATCCATGTCTGAGTTCCCTTTGTCAGCATCCAGGCAGTCGAAGCTTCCTTAAGGTCCGAGGGAATTACTTATTCCATTGTGATTGAAGATGTTCAAGTAATTATCCCACAGCCCACTCTTCCAGAGGCTTGCTGGTCCATATGAACTGAAGGTCCATCCTCTTTTATCTTTGGGTACCCTCTGCCAGGGAAGGGACCTGTGGGTACCACTAGGGCCTTCCTGAAGTCTGGACTACCCCTGCAGTGGGTAGGAAGGTTCTATCCCTCTCTTTTTTGCATTTGGTACAAGTGGATATGGTAATAAAAAATGTAATGGAAAGGGCAAAAAAGAGTCTCTGGCATGAAATGCAAAGGGCAAACTGAAGAGTGTGAGTCAAAGTAGAGGCAAATGTAAGTTGTTACTCATTTAGTTCTTAATTGGAGGTTACCTCTGACCCCGGGTTCCCAGAAAGGGAGAATGAGCCATAGCACAACCTCAGGACTGACTGTCATCCTATATTTGCAGCATCTGTCTGGCCCAAAGTCTCATTAATGCCCCATCCCCTTTCAGGGTGCTGCCAGAATAAGGGAAGGGCATGACCCCAAAGCCTATAGGACAGAAAGAAAAATGCTTGGGATTGGGGCCTGAATGTCACCACTTCCCTCACAACTGTAGATTCAAATGCATTGCTATAAACTAATCATAGGTGTGACTGATTTATCTTAGGTTCTCTTGGACAAGGAGAATGAAGAAATGTTACTCAGAGAAGAGAACAGAATGGTAACTTCAACTTTGAGGCTTATCTATACCTTGGAAGAGGTAGGTGTTTCAAAATGAACATCAGAGAAATGGGCCATGCTTTCCTCTGATAACAAGGCCTATACTTCCACTTGGTGATTTAATGGAAATTATTCTCATATTATTTCCTAACTTCTCCAAATTTCCTTAGGATTTCACAGCCAGTATCAGTGTCACTGCCTTAAGTTAGGACCTGAAGCCCACCTGCCCATCCCAGCAGCCACTGCATTATTTAGAAGTGTCCAGGAGTGGATTAAGTGAGCACAAGACAGCCTCTAATGCTCATACTCTCCCCTTGAGGTCCCCTGGCTGATTTCTGACCTGTGCCACCCACAAGCCATCTGAGAGCTATGCTTCATGGCTACCACTGATGATGGAATCAGGGGACACTTGATACCACTGACTTCCAGCCAACGGTGGAGTCTCCCAACCTGCCAAATTCTCCTAGACCTCATGGCAGCAAAGTCTTGTGCAATCTCTCTGCTATCTTTCCTGAGTTTTGTTGGTGTGAAGAATGCCCCTTCCTTCACCTGGATCACCTGGACAGTGCTACATCTGCCTCTTTGTGACACATAGCTTTTCTTGGGGGGTACAGGTGTCTGCTTGCACTAACTGATTTGGGAGGGTGGGGGAGGGTATGAGGAGATGGGGGTTGGGGGTTAAGGGGAGAGGTGGAGGAGCAGGAAAGAGCCAGAGAGGAGATTGTCTGGTAGTTGCTGATTCCCTAAATCAGCAATTCTAAAATGCAGAGAACTTAGAAAACAATTTTCCCCCTGCATTTATTTGGTGGCAAACCCTGACCCGACCTAAACTCATTTAGGGGCAAAATCTGACCTGAACTGACTTGCTACTCACTTATTTTACTGCCAGAAATATTAATGTGCTTGAGTATGGAACATGTGTAAAATGTATTTTTCTACCTTTTTAAAATTGCACACATACACACACAAATCTTAATTTGAAATATGTATGGTCCCTAAAGGGTTTCAGAGTAGGGACTGTGGACCAGTACAGAGAGTGAGGGAGAAAAGGGAGTGGCCAAAACAGGATGCGCTCCCTCCTTTGCCTGGCCTCACAAATTGCTGTCCGCGTCCTAAGGAGACCAAATGCTGGCAACAGCTGGAGGAGCCGTTTTCATGCTGATCACTCTCCAGACATGCCCAGACATGTCTCAGTCGCAGTAATGGACACAGTTTGGGTGCCCCAGCTGTACAGGATTGCAGTCAGCCCTGCAAATAGGAGCCGAAGTGGCTTGTGGCAGAAGTGCCTCTGAGGCAGGCACCCCCATGCCCTGGCCTGAACCAGCCCGGCTGCGTTTTGCAGCGCCTGCTTCTAAATCCACCTTTTTTTTTTGGTGCCACTACCATTTGTGTTCCTCTGCTAGTGAGGGGAAGATGCTTTCTGGATGGGGAAGTTCCACCTCAGAGCTGGCGTGAGGCAAGCCACAGGGAAACTAGACCAGGGCTATTTTGTTTGAAGCACAAAACTGGAAAGAGCCGGCTCCGCTGCCACAAAATGGCTTCCCTTTTCCCAGCCCCTGTGCATGCCCCAGTGACTCATCATCTCTTAGCTTTGATTCCAGCCTCCCCAGTCCCACAGCATCTGCCGTGTGGCCCTCTCCATTCCCTGAGGGAATGGAAATGGAGGAGAGAGAAAAGTCACTAATGGATGCACCAGATTATTCATTTGCAAATGTCTATTTCTTCATCTTAAACATTTCAGATTTCCTGAGAAATGGATAACCTCGTTGCTGAGCACCCTGGTCTAGTAAGCAAAGTGAACATTGTCTATTCTTTCAAAAATCGGCCCATGAACGAGCTCAAGGTACACAGGTGCAGTGATGATTTTTCCTCTCATGCTTCTAGAATCCCGGTCTTCCCAGGCGGGCTGTCAGTAGTCTCTGCCTGCAGAGCTGTTCCTTTTTTTTTTTTTTCCCCTCTCCTCCTAACCAGTCCTTGCTGGTTTTGACTATCCACCTCCCTGCTTCCCCCACCTCCCTTTCTTCTTTTTATTGCGCGAGCTGACGCAGGTCTGCAGGAGTGAATTAATGTTCTCCTCTTGATAGATTTGCTCTCAGGGAAACAGGCATATGCACCAATAGGAACAGAGGAAGGGGGAGGTGGTTCGGGCCCCTGGGTGAGCTGGGAAGGGGGAGGTATTCTGTAATTAATCAAGGTAGCTGTGCTGTGCCTTGTTTTTCTTTTACTTGTTTCTTTCGTTTTTGTTTTTGTTTTTTTAAACCGAGAATTTAAAAAAAAAAAGAACAAGAAATAAAAGTTCCAGGTACTTGCTGGAGCCGCATTTAAAACCAAAACAGTTCTTGTGGTGTGCAGAATGATGGGCAACCAAACAGCAAAGGCAAATGCCCAGAAACGCAGGCATTTTTTACTTGCTAGCCGGAAAAAGGTTATGGTTTTACTTCAACCTGTACCCGCTGACAACAGTTAGTGCTGATAATTTCAAGCTTTTTCACCTTGCCTTGCAAAAGAGTGAAAAGTATTTCCCCAGATTTCCTAGAAAGAGTTTGTTAAGGGGGGTGGGGGGAGATAATGTCACAACTCCCTGCTAAATTTGGAAACGTTATGGCTGAGAACCAACAGACTCACTGGGACAGATGGATTTCTCCAGAGTGGCTCTCCCAAAGCAGGCCTGAGAGGAGTGGTTTGCCTACTTTATGACACCGTGGCACATTTGCTCGTATTTACTACCTTCTTTTCTTTTGATTTCCTTTTCCCTGTTTCTCCTACAGTTGGGTCAGGAAACCCCAGATTCTCCTCCCCCTTGGATCTTCCTGGACTTTCCTTCTCCCGGGTGTTTTGGTGATTCGTGGTTGAGAATGTTATTTGTTTTCGAAAGTTCCCTATGTGAGCTCTTTGGAGGAAAAAGCATGAAACACTTTAAAACTCTCAAAACGCTTGAAAAGTAATTTTTAGCAGGGATTTACATTTCTCATTTACCTTATCTGTGATGTTTAGAATGCTGCAGGAAGATAGAAATTGATGGTGCAAAAATAATCTTTTCCTCCCCATTTACTGATTCAATTGGCAAAGCCACTGTTCCAAATAAAACTGAGTCCCTTAGATCATAAAATTTAAACTCTGGAAAGGACTTCCAGAGCCTACCATCCTGTTTTTATGAAGGACTCAAAAGATTACCACAAGCATTTTTATTACAAAAATAACACAATCATTGCAAAAAATGGAGAACAGAGAAACAAAAAATGAAAAACATCCCTATTTTACTAATTTCACAACTATGGGATTGATAGCTATTAACATTTTGTTGTATATCTTTCTATTTTTTCCTCTCTTTTCTTTCCCCCCTCCCTTTTTCTCCTATGTTTGTGTGTGTACATATACATACATACACATGAGCTAGCCTTTTAAGAAATAAAAATGGTATCATACTATTTGGTAATCTATTTTTAAAAATTTATGGCATATGATGAACATATTTTCATGTCATCACATTATCTGCAATGATTTTTTACAAACGTCAAATGATGCCCTTCTTGTTAGCCTGTATTTAAGTTTATATTAAAGGAAAGGGACCAAAAAAACCCACGTTAAATGAAAAGTTAATTGACAGCATCACTGTCTACACCTCCTCCTCCTCAACCACATCAAGTACAGAAAGAGGAACAGACAAGGGGTCTGTGGTGGTGGAGCCATTCACATTTCCACACTTGTTTTGCAGTTCAGCACGGGAGGAGACAAGCTGGCTATCTGGCTAGAGGCTGGGATCCATGCCGGTGAGTGGGTTACACAAGCTACTGCACTGTGAACTGCAAATAAGGTCATTTTGCCCAAAATTCCCCATTTATTTTGTCTTTCTGGGGTCAGGGCCCACCTAACCTCACAGCAATCCCTGTGGTCCTATGGCTGACGCTCTCATCCCAAGTCCTTCTCTTGTCACACAGTCAGGAAACAGACCCATTCAAACCTAATTTGGTATTGCCCCACCCAGCACCCTGGCATGTACCTCCATACTCCCCCAACCTGCTGGCCACTGCGTGCTCTGTTAAAAGATAGTGAGAGCTATGGGCTTCCTTGGTGGAGAAGTGGTTAAGAATCCACCTGCTAGTTCAGGGACATGGGTTCAATCCCTGGCCTGGGAAGATCCCACATGCCGTGGAGCAACTAAGCCCGCGCACCACAACTACTGAGCGTGTGCTCTAGATCCCGTGAGGCACAACTACTGAGCCTGCGTACCACAACTACTAAAGCCCGCATGTCTGGAGCCCGTGCTCTGCAACAAGAGAAGGCACTGCAATAAGAAGCCCGTGCACCGCAACGAAGAGTAGCCCCTGCTTGCCGCAACTAGAGAAAGCCCATGCACAGCAACGAAGACTCAATGCAAGCAAAAATAATAAATGAAACAAATTAAAAAAAAAATAGTGAGCTAAAGGAGATTAAGAGGGTGGCAAGTAAGGACACCAAGAGTCAGATTTCAGCATAAGAACAGATTAGAGAACATTGCTTTGCTGCCTGGAGCTCCTAGGGCTGTGGCACGATGTACTAGAGATCTATAAAACCACAAAATGAGCTTAGATAGAGAATATAAATGGGCTAGAAGAGTTTACTTTGACCTACAGATACAAAGTGGAACTCGTTGAGGGTTTTTGGGTTGTTCTGAAAAATTTCCAAATCTCACTTAAAGTTAGGGTGTAGAGATATGTCTCTTCCACATGTTCATTGGAATTAGAGTCAGGACACCGTGCTGGGTGTGACCTAGCCTGGTATTTCTTAAGTAATTCAAAAATGACATGCTATAAATCAGAATGTTAATTCATGAGCAAAGGAAATCAATCCACATCAGATCATTCAAGCATGTGCAACCACGTGCATACCGGCTGATACATTTTTCCCTTCAATTAAAATGCAGTTACCTTTAGGGTATTATGAAATGGATATTTAACAGTTGAATAATAATGCCTTAGGATGGCTGAGCACAGGAAATGAATAAATTTTAATCCAACAGAAACCTCAACTCTACTGCAATTGATCACAAGTAGAAATGTAAATTCCCCAAATGGAATTTAACTGGTTCTCTGGGTCTTTAGAGAAGTCTCTGCATAATTAAGTAATCTGATGTTGGTCGTGAGTACTTTTGAGAAGGTATAGCCTGTGTGGTGATTAAGGAAACTGAAAAGATTTCTTTGGTTCATAGGTCCCTCTGAGCCACAAACACAGTTGCCCACCATTGCAAAATGCCTCACTAAAATTAATTGGAAGAATTCTGCTTTTGAGAGATAATGGATAAGTGATACCTGATTTTTATTTAATATAAGTAAATTATTCTGATTGGAAATAAAAGTATCGACACTGGCATATTAAACACGTTAATAGGAGATTGGGCTGTAGTCCTGGAAGACTCTCACTGACCATCAGTGATAGGTTATGTTTGGAAAAAGCGCATTGCCTTAATATTCTCTCCTCTGTTCCCTGGTGAACGGGGAGTGTGAGATTGACGTATATGTTGTCTCTGCTCAGACTGCCTCTGATTATGGAAATGACCCATCCATCACTTTGATTGGATATGATGGACATCTTCCTGCTGCTCTGATGGCTATGTGTTCTCTCAAACCAAAGGAAGCCTGGACTTTTTCTCTTCAACAAGAATTTAAGGAGATGTGTAGGAACTTCAAAACAAAACAAAAGTGATTTTTCTGTTCTTGATTTACCCTAAATGGAAAGCCTCATCTCTCAGTAGTGGCCCTGAATTGAGGCATAGTGATGTTTACAATCATTTCATTTTCCAATACATGATATCTTTCCATATTGCCTTGGTCAGAGCCCATTTCAGCTGTTAGGCTGGGCTATTAGAGTTCAGTGTTCACTGTGAGTCACCTAGGAGATTTGTTCCAATTATCCCTGTGTTTTGATGGTAGGATTGATAGAAAAGAGGAGGCGGATGTTACCTGCTGACAATTAGATTGCTGTAGGATTTAGGTAGGCAGTACAATGCATCTGGCATTTTACTTACAATCTGTAGAAGAAATCCTCTGTTATATCACAAAAACGAGTTATGCAGTTTTTTTTTCTTTAAAAATCTCATTACAGAACACCATTATGGCAACTGTGACCCCACGTATATTCAGAATGAATCAGAGCTTCAAGTTTATTTTTGGAGAGAGCAGACTACGATAGCATTTTTCAATGCGTGTTCAGAAGGAACTTGTAGAAATAGTAGTACTCATCTCATGAGATACCCTATGAATAAAGGGTTCCACAGTCAAGTTTGGGAAATACCGCCCACTGTATCTTGGAGCTTGGAGCTTCTTGGATCTTCATAAAAAACATTAAAACATTAAAAAAACCTTTAGAAGTTCTGAAGTAAATTAGCCAATTTAACCCTGTATTTTCCCAAAATGTTCTATCACAGAACCCTCGGGCTCTCCCCACTATTTTTTTGTTTTTTAATTTTTGTTTTTTGTTGTTATTGTATTGTTAACGTTTGAGAGGACTGTGGTTCTACGGAACATGGTTTGGCAGGTATTCATTGGAGGAGATGGAGGCTTATTTACTTCTCACCTCGGTGAGACGGCCGAGAAGCTCCAAGCAGAACCCTGTGTGAGGACTACTGGTCAAGTCTGTGGGCAAGGGAAATGAGTGCAATTCCAAAGGGCCTTCCCGTGAGGGATTGAGAGAAATTAACAAAATTCTAAAGGAAACTTCTCATTGGACTGAATGACCGTCTTTTTTTTTTTCTGTATTTTCTTTCCGTTGGATTTTAAAGAATCGTATGTGGCAGAAGACCCGGTTCAAGGTATCTGGAAGCCTCAGTGTTGGTGTTGATCCTAACCGGAACTGGGACATGGGTTTTGGAGGTGAGCATGGGGACTTTCCCCCAGGGATAGTCAGATGTTCTCTGGCCAGATAGCTATTTGCATGGCTCTGCAGTGCTGTCAGCCTGCTAAGCCCATTCAGGATTGAAGCTATTTAAAAACCTATTTGAAAAACACTTCACTAAATTCCCTTCACAGGCACACAGTGCTGTCACTGAGCTCTGAGGAGCATTTAATATATTTTGTCTCACATCTTGGTTTTCCCATAAACTGTATCCTGGCTCAGCTTCTGAGCTTCCAGAGCAAGACTTTGTGTGGTGGTGGGAAGCGCCAGGAAGCCCTGAACCAACCACTAGAGGGGGTTGGGATCTAGTCACAGGAGAAGCATTACATCATCTATGGATGCTTCGAGAAAGAAAACTAAAATGAAGTACGAATAAGATTAAGAAATTGATTTTCAAAATAGATTCAAAGAGAAAATACTTGCTTCCTGTTCTGCCTTTGTTGACTTACAGCTCTAATTTTTCGCGGTCCAGTGCCAGGCTGGTTGGGGGCTCCTTTTTGCTTTCAGGCACCAGTTAAAACCCTTTATGTTTCTCTAATCACAGAGTTAAAATGTATTTGGTTTTTCCTCATTATGGTGATAGCAGTAACGTTAGAAACTGTCTTTTCCACTGTAGTGTTCCTAACACCTAGCATAGTGTCTGGCACATAGAAGGCAATCACTAAAGACTTGAAAGACAGATGAATTAATGAGAATCATTGAACCAAGAAAGGATACACTGACACGATATGGATGAGTGGCAACTTCATTCATTGCTTTTACAAATTCTTTTTTTTTTTTTTAGTGTAGGAAAGAAAAAAATCAAAGCATCAGATCCAAAATACTGAACAATGTCCAGCAATTCAAAGTCAAAATTTTTCCTGGCTTGTTGTTCTTATTAAATAATCTCCAAATGAGGTGATAGTTTGTATATATACTTTGTCCATATCATTTAGAGACTCTGTGGAGTCCCAGCCTCTACCTGTCCCTTCAGAGTTTCTCTAGCATTCAGAGCCCTGGCCAGGCCACAGTGGGACCACTTCAGTGGTCATGAGTAACTCCAGTAGCTGAGAAAATGAGGCCAAAGGTAGCCTTTTTGTCAAAAGTAATTGTGACTTCCTCACCACAGAAAGGGTATCAGAGGTTCCTTGCATTTGTGGCTTTGTGACTTAGAAGTACAGATGCATAGAATCTTCTACTCTTGGGCTCTAAGAATTGGAAGAAATCCCAGAAAATGAGCTTGCTGAACTCCCATCCAATGCAGGAATTCCATCTATAATATTAAATCTAGCTTTTCTTCCAACAACTCCCACAGAGAGGAGATGATTTAATTTGATAGTTCTTTCTGCCATATAGAGGAGCCATGTTTTTAAAGAAGAAGATGTGTCCAGAATCTCTCGAGTTAGGTCTCCTGACTGTGTCTTTAGGTAGTAATTCAATCTAACACAATGACAATCTTGCTCAGATTTCCAGAGGAGGAACTGAAGGGATGCATGGTAACTGCCTCCATACACTGTCTCCTTAAAGCTCACTGTTCTCACTTGGCATCTTCTGCATCCCATCACAACCTGGAGCCAGCAACAACTCTTGCTCTGACTCATACCATAGACCCAGTGCCAACTCTGAAGTTGAAGTGAAATGCATAGTGGACTTTATCAAGAGTCCTGGAAAAGTCACGGCCTTCATTACCTTCCACAGCTATTCCCAGCTGCTGATGTTCCCCTATGGGTATACATGTGCCGAGTCACATAAATTTGATGAGCTGGTAAGTTTCTGAAACTTCATTTCAGACACAAACATCCATGGTGTGGACAAATAAGTTTCAATCATAAAGATAGGTATTGAGATGGGGGTATACTAGTGACAGGTTACAAACATAAATGAGACATAATATGTCCAACCACTGAGAAGATTGTGACACAGGCAAAGGTTTGAAAGACTTGCCTAAATTAAATTTCCTTGGGAAATAGAATTCATGAAATTATTGTTGCCTTAATCTAGATGAGCAGAAGCCTGATTTGACTATAAATTCCCAGGATGTGTTTTCTGTTGCTTAGGAAATAATCACTTGGATTTGGACCTGAAGCTCTTGGATCTGTAGTCAGTTGCTCTATGCTAAGCAGTGCTGCCTCTCAGCTCTTTGCCTTATACCTTCCTGGTGTCTTTGGCTCTGTGATCCGTCATCATGCTGCACTTGTGTATGCTGGACATAAAACACTTCCCTAAGGTATCACTTGATACCCTCCATCGTCTTTCCTGTTTCAGGAATGAGCAGACTGGTGGCAGCCTTAAGTCAGGTGGTGACAACTCAGGGCGCTGCTTATAATTGAGCAAGTGCTTCTCCAGCTGAAGAGAATGTGCAAATATTTCCAATTTGCCTTTTAGGCTTGGTTTTTGAAACCCGTATATTAGAGATAAGCCCTGAGATGGGACCTTTTGGTCAGTTTACTTTCAAGTAGATTGTTGTCAGCAGCTAGCAGAAATGGAATAGATTATTCATATTCAGGTGTATCTTTCATCTTATCAGTTGCATTTTAGCCCCTGTAAGGCAGTTTTCAGGGTTTTGATGGTGAATATTGTCACTAAAGGTTGAATCAAGGGAGAGAGAATGTCAGAGTTGAATGTCAAAGGTACTTTTAGTAGCTCTAGATAACCTTACATTACCTAAACCTGGTGCTTAAATCTCTACCATTATAGTCATCCAGCCTATGATTGGATAGCTCCCTGCCTCCAAGGGAGCCTTTTCCATGTTGGGGCAGATTTGATTGAGCTCAAGCCTTCTGCTTATGGTTTTCACATACCAGCCCTGGTTTATCGTCTTGCTCCAGAGAGTAAGTTTATTTCCCTTTGAGAGACAAATTCATTAATTACTTGAAGATAGTAACCTGCTTCTCCTAGGTTTTTCCTTATCCTTGCTAAGTACCCCCGTCCCTTCAAGCCCTCAGAATATGTTCCCAACTTCCCTCACCCTTCTGGTTGCTGTTTTACGAATATGCTCTGATTTGTCTGTGTTCTTCAAGGCAGCTCCCAGAAGTGAATGTAAAACTCGCGTTGTGGGGTTAACAAGCATAGCGCAGAGCATGACCGTAACTGCCCTCATCCAGCTTATGCAGTTGAGGGTCACATTAGTTTTTTGGCAGTGGCGTCGTTCCGTTGACTCATGTTGGGCTCATTGACAGCTGAAACCCCCAGGCTCTCTGAGTATTCTGCTGAGCCAGGTTTCCCCCATCTGGTAATTGTACAGTCGTTTTCCTGGACCCAAGTTCAAGACCTTACATTTATCCCTAGCAAGGACAGTAAAGCCTCAATCAGTCAAAATTGGAACCCTCAAATAATGGAAAATACTTTGCTGAGCTCTACTTCTTGGAAAAAGAGACAATCATAGGGAAATAAGCCAATGTAGGGATCTAGTTTAAAAAAGAAAACCAACTTCCTGGATACATCCTTGAGTCAGTACACATTCTCTTTAGCCCCTTACTCCCACCCTATTTCCATCCACACTCCTGAACAAGGAGAGCTGGTGGCAAAATAATGACCCTGGTGTATTTATTGCAAGAACCTGAAAGATCAAATAAACGAGGGTCTGTTGTATTTTCAGAGCCAACAGAAGTGAACTTGTGCTTACTTCCCAGTGAAAATGGTTGAAACAAAAAGGGTGTTGTGCTTAATTAACCAGAGTCCAGTTCATCAGACTGTCCCATTCTACATTCTGCAACTGGGCATCTGTTCTTCCAAGAGACAAGCACTAACTATCCACCTTTCCTTGGTTCTCTCACTCTAAAATGAAGTGGCCCAAAGGCTGCCCAGTCTCTGACAAGCCTGCATGGCACCAAGTACAAAGTGGGACCTGTCTGCTCAGTCATCTGTAAGTATCTAACGTGTTTTTACAAATGAGCCACTAAGATAGCAGGCACCATGTGATTTGGGGTCAAAGCCTTTAAATGCTCTGACATGAAATGGGTAGGCCTTAAAAATGCAGGGAACCCAAACCTACACAGATTTCTTCGGCGAGGCTAGATCTCCTCCATGATATACTTACTATGTGGTATTTAGAGCAAAGAACTTCCTAAATATTTGAGTTGTGTGTTCTCTGCTCTGCTTGTCCTGATCCTTAATGGCTCACTCTTATTATGTGGAATTTCTTTGCCTGAAAATGGGCATTTATCAAGACTCTGACCTAAGTTACCACTTTTATTAATTACCCATTTCTTGGCTAAGAGAGGCTCATACCCTAAGTAAACCCATGGACTGTATGTGGGGACAGAATGGGTGCAACTCTTAAGAGGACCCAGAGGTTTCAGTGGATAGACTCGGTTGCAGCCATCTGTCCATGCAGAGTTTGGGGAAACAAAGAGGAGGGCAGTCAGGAGTAATGGCAATGGCAGGTATAAAGCTTGGGAGCCTGCTGTCAGACTTCCCGATGCTCCTCTCTCCCATAGTAAATCAAGATAAGAACAAGAAATGACTGCAGCGCTGTTGGAAATCCTAATGCACCCACTTGCAGATTCTTAGTCCTCCAAAGGAATCCCCTCACTTTGTTATGGACAAAGCCAGAAACTCAGGACCCCACAGTCAAATGCCCAGGAGTTCCCTAGTGCTCCTATGCCCATGGATCCTTTGGAAACAAATGACTTTTGTAGGCACCCACTGTGCCTAAAACACACACTTTTATTGAGCATATACTATGTGCTAATCATTGTATATGATTATATACCTGTCTCCAAGTACTGGAGACATAATGAACCCACAGAGAACTCACTGTTTAATATGGGAGATGAATGGGAAGAAAAACTTTAGCATGATATGTGCAATAGTAGGCTATACATGGTACAAAAGTATTAGAAAGTTGGGGGGATTTGATTTCATCTAGGAAGAGGGCAGGATTTTGAAGGCTAGAGAAGGGGAAGAGGAATGGGACATTCTGGCTCATTAATAGCACATGCAAAGGCACAGACATGTGAAACTGCATGATGGGCTCTGTGAACTACAAGAAGGAATGAAAGTGGTAACAGGAGTCGGGGGAGTTCAAGTTTTTGTGTGCCATATTAAAGAACTTAGGTTTTAACCCAAAGGATTCTGGAAGCCATTGGAGAGTTTTCAGCAGGGCAGCGAGTGCACTGAGGCATTGTGTTTTAGATAAAACACATCAACAGCAACATGGAGGATGTGGTGATGATGGACTAGAAGTAGGAACATCCCACAAGAAGAACAGGAAGAGTTCAGAGGAGAGATGATGGCTCACACTACAGCAGTGCCAGTGAGGAATGAAGGGAGAAATTTACAAGGTAAAATCAAAAGTTTTTTGTCATTTATCAGAAGTGGAGAGTTTCTCACTGATGGTCATTGAATGGTGCCATTAACTGAGGGAGACATCCAGGAAGGTGAAGGAGGGGTGGGGTTGGAAAGATGAGTTCAGCTCTGGACATACTGAGGTTGAGGTAAGTGTGGTATTTTCAAGTGGAGATGTCCTGTAGGCTTTGGGCTGTATACCCCTGGGATTCTGCAGAGAGAGAGATTTAAGGGTAGTTGAAAGGGAAGGTGGTTGGAACAGGAGAGCAAGGAGGTCATCGGAAGTGGGAAAAGCCCTGGACAGAGGAGGGGAGTAAGATGTTAGGCAACAGAATTGGTTAGCAATGATGGAGGGCATGGCAGCAGGGCTGGGCAGAGAGGCCAAAAACCTTGCATTTCAGAAACCAGGGAAGGAGCAATTGTTGGGAAGGAGGCAGTGGATAACAATGACAAAAAGGTCACAAAAAGGTCAAATGTGAAAAGGACGGAACATTTACCATTGGGTTTTCATTACTAGCTTATGGTGACCGTAACCAGAGCAGTTTTAGAAGAGTCAGGGTTACTGGAGGAGTACATGGGATGGGAGAAGGGGAGGCCAAGTGAGTGGACTACTCTTCAGAGGAGCATGGATGAGAAGGGAAGGAGAGAGAGGAATGGAGGGTTTTGTTTTTGAGGTAAGAGATTTGTTTATTGACTGTGGGAAAAGGAACAATAGAGAGGGAGAGGTGGAAGATATAGGAGAGAGAAGAAATGACCAAGGCAGTGCTGTTCCAAAGAGGGGGAGAATAGGGGCAAGAAAGGGATAAGCAGAGGTGGGCAGATCAGGCTTGAACAAGAGGAGAGTGTGCCGACATGCTGGGGACACTGACATAGCTCTATCTGTAAGTGGGTGATGGTGGGAGTCTGAGGGAGAGCACACTTGTTAGTAATGGTTTTCTTTTCTTTTCTTTTTAAAGCATACTTGATTTTTTTTAAAAAATTATTTTATTTTTGGTTGCATTGGGTCTTCGTTGCTGCATGTGGGCTTTCTCTAGTTGTGGTGAGCAGGCGCTACTCTTCCTTGCAGTGCGCGGGCCTCTCATTGCGGAGGCTTCTCTTGTTGTGGAACACAGGCTCTAGGATGCGCAGGCTTCAGTAGTTGTGGCACGTGGGCTCAGTAGTTGTGGTGCATGGGCTTAGTTGCTCCACGGCATGTGGGATCTTCCCGGACCAGGGATAAAACCTGTGGCCCCTGCGTTGGCAGGCGGATTCCTAACCACTGTGCCACCAGGGAGGTCCCAGTCATGGTTTTCTTAATGGGAGTCTTGGAGAGCAGAGGAGTAACAGTTTACTCACCATATCTAGAACACTTAATGGAAATCCCAAAACTACTGATTTGGTAATATTTCAGAGCATGAAAGTTTCTTTTTTTCTTTTGCTTTTTTTTTTCCAGATTATGGTTTTCTTTCTTTCTCTCTTTCTTTTTTGCTATTATGATGTATTTTTAAAACTTCATAGAAAAAAGAGTCTAATAATGATCATACTTTATTATCAGTTTCAATTTCATTAATGTTTTGTCATTGAACACAAATATATTTATCTAGTTGTAATCAATGTCTGCATTTAGCTTTTTTTCATTTAACATCATTTCCCATATAGTTCTTTAAAAAATTTATTTTATTTTATTTTATTTTATTTATTTATTTTTTTTGTGGTACGCGGGCCTCTCACTGTTGTGGCCTCTCCCGTTGCGGAGCACAGGCTCCGGACGTTCAGGCTCAGCGGCCATGGCTCACGGGCCCCGCCGCTCTGCAGCATGTGGGATCCTCCCGGACCGGGGCATGAACCCGTGTCCCCTGCATCAGCAGGTGGACTCTCAACCACTGTGCCACCAGGGAAGCCCCAAAATTTATTTTATTGAAGTATAATCGATTTACAATGTTGTATTAACTTCTACTGTATAACTAAGTGATTCAGTTATACATATATATATTCTTTTTCATATTCTTTTCCATTATGGTTTATCACAGGATATTGAATATAGTTCCCTGTGCTATACAGTAATACCTTGTTGTTTATCCATTCTCTATATAATAGTTTGCATCTGCTGATCCCAAACTCCCAATCCATCCCTCTCCCATCCCCCTTGGCAACCACAAGTCTGTTCTCTATGTCTGTGAGTGTGTTTCTGTTTCATAGATAAGTTCATTTGTGTCATATTTTAGATTCCACATATAAGTGCTATCATATGGTATATCTTTCTGACTTCATTTGGTATATAATCTCTAGGTCCATCCATGTTGCTGCAAATTACATTATTTCATTCTTTTTTTATGGCTGAGTAGTATTCCATTTTACATTTCCTACATAGTTTTATGTTATTTCCGCTCTAGGTATTTGTTATTCAATTATACTGCTATATCCCAGTTATTGGGCCTTTGGATTGTTTCAACTTTTTGCTAAATAGTGCTACTATGAACATATTGGCACAAACTTCTTTTTCTTTTAGGCGATTCCCAAGTCAAATGTAATGAACAGCATTGGAGCTCTATCTACATATTTTTTAGGCTATTCTTTGGGAAGACTGATCTTACAGTTGCCCAGACCTTTTTAACTGTGTTCCATGTGGGATTGTCCTCCCCTTTGGTGGGGGAACCTCCAGGGAGGAGGGCCCCCTGAGTGGTGGCAGTGGGGTAGGAGGCCATTATGGCCACTTGAGGCTGAGGAATGCATGTTTTCTCTGGTTGGCCACCTCTGAGTGGAGGCTGGAGTTCAGAATGTCAGCAGAATGGCCTCATTTGCCCCTGAGACACATACATGGGGTCTCAGCCATTTTATTACAAGGAATCTAGTTTTCCACCTTCCTTAAATACCTACAGTATTTACAAGTACTGTAGACCTTGAAAGGCCTACATTTAGTATGTTTTTTTTGGCCAAGTCACAGATGTTGAAGATACTTCCAATAAGCAAATGTCAGACAAGTATAGGGTTTGCTGTCTGATCTTTTGTAATGTGACCATTAATGGTTAATCAAGTTCTTGCTGCATCTCTGTCCAGAGCTGACTCTGTTATCCTTGATTCTGGCCTCATTCCAGCTTGGACAAGCACTGCCTCTAAGAACGAGTCCCAGTTAAGTACTTTTTGCCTCTTGCCCCCGATTGATATGCAGCTCTGGGCTGAATACCTGCTTCGCTCCACCCAAGACATGGCTGGACGTCTGTGGTGGGTGAGACGTTTTCTGGGCAGTTTCTCATCTGGAAAGGTCTATAAGGAGCTGCATCACAACAGGTGTTTGGTCCAGAAGTTGTTACTTGAGTCTTTCTCAGGGGGAAATAAAACACAGACCTTGGGGAGAGAGGTCTGGATTTGAGTTATAGTTCCATCACTTTGGAACCAAGTAACCTTGGGCAAGTCACTCAAGCCTGGTCACTCAAACCAGGTTCCCTTGGTTTTTTCATCTATGAAATGGGTTGTTGAGAAGCTCTAAAGATAGAATGTAGAATAAACGAGTTCACTAACTCGAAGGCACTATATAAATGTTGCTTGTTAGTTTCCTGGTGAACTACTCTCCTCCAGATACCTCTGATCCTTAATGTGGTCCAACTTTTCTGATGGGATCTTAGTCATTTATTGATAATGATGATTATAATCACAACTGATATTTACTGAATGCCTATTCTACATACATTATCCCATCTCCTTCACTTAATCTCTCTGAGATTTCCTCATCTGTAAAATGGGACTAATACTAATATCTACTTGTGACACAGGTGAGGATTAAATAAACCAATTTAGCATAACGTCTAACACATTTAATAAGCACTCAACAATTGATCGAATCATGAACATTATATTATCCTATTTAATTCTCACTGCCCTATGAAGTAAGTAGTATTATTATCCTTATTTGACAGAAGAAGCATTTGTGACTCAGATAAGTGACTGTCTTAGGTCACCCAGCTAATGATTTGCAGAATCAGGATTCAATCTGAAGCCAGTCCACTGTGGACCTCTTAGTGGGATCATCTGTGTCATGTGACCACACCAAAGGTATAAGTTAGTAATTTTGGTACCCAGGAAAATTCAGTTCAAGTCAGCAGCCATTTGGTGTTTGTTATTTACCAGGTGCTACTACTGCTGCTGTGGGTGAAGGCAAAGACACAAGACACACGAGTTCATAGTGTTAATTCCCAATATTAACCACTAGTCCTACTTTTCCCTGGTATAACCTCCCTGGTCTTCCCCTTTGCTCGGCCCCACTCTTAGGGATTAGGTGACTCCATTTGACCTCTACCTGCCCTCCCTCGGACGGGCCTCAGAGCCGACCTATTCCTTAGCTCTTCTGAGTCATGATTGTCAGAAGTGTTTGTAGGCTAATGCTACCTTCCTTTATCATTTGTCACGTAAGTGGCCACATATTACACAGGTGCACATTGTTGGTTTTACTCACACATATAGGTGCTGGGCATGTTATTTGTTATCAGAGCAAAGCCTGTTCCATCCTTATGCTGAAAGTGCCCTGAGAGCAGGGACCAAATCTCTTCCTCTATTTGTAATCCCTTCTCTCCCACCAGAGGAAACAATGTTTACACCTAGCACCCAACTGAAGAAAGAAGTGGTGTAGCCTCCCTAAGCTGTAGAAGATGCCCGTAGGAGAGCAGGCAGGATTCCAGATGGGTGGGTGAAGCCAGAGGCTCCTAAGAACACCAAAGGAAGGCTAAGTATAGTGTCCATTTGAGTAACACCTTTTGCTTTTCAAATTAATCTTGTATTTTTTCATAAGCGTGGCCCTCTACTAAGCTATCCCTGTTCTCAAGGTCCATGCAGATAGGGGCCTGACTTATTTTTGATAGTGGTGGAACTTAATATAGAGGTTACGTAGCTGTGAGAGGCCAGTGGGAATAGCATAACCAGACTTTATTCTCATTTGCCCTTCAGACCAAGCCAGTGGAGGAAGCATTGACTGGTCCTATGACTCTGGAATCAAATACTCATTTGAATTTGAACTGGGAGACACAGATCGATATGAGTTCCTTCTGCTGGCCAATCCGATCTTACCCACAGTGAAAGAGATCTGGTTTGGCTTGAAAACAGTCATGGAGCATGTGTGAGACCACCCCTATTAAGGCTCTTGGGAATAAACACCATTAAAAGCTCTTTGGTTTGAAGCAAAGTTGGGCTGTGATTATTTATTTATTTTTTAAAATAAATCATTTATTTATTTATTTATTTATTTATTTTGTCTGCATTGGGTCTTCGGTGCTGTGCGTGGGCTTTCTCTAGCTGCAGTGAGTGGGGGCTGCTCTTTGTTGTGGTGCGCGGGCTTCTCATTTGCAGTGGCTTCTCTTGTTGCAGAGCACGGGCTCTAGGCTCACGGGATTCAGTAGTTGTGGCATGCAGGCTCAGTAGTTGTGGCTCACAGGCTCTAGAGCACAGGCTCAGTAGTTGTGTTGCGTGGGCTTAGTTGCTCTGCGGCATGTGGGATCTTCCTGGACCAGGGCTCAAACCTGTGTCCCCTGCATTGGCAGGCGGATTCTTAACCACTGCACCACCAGGGAAGCCCCTGCATTGTGATTATTCCTTTTTCTTTTCTTTTTTTTTTTAAACATTTGTAATTTTTTCCCTTAAACTTATTTATTTAATTTATTTATTTTTGGCTGCATTGGGTTTTTGTTGCTGTGCGTGGGCTTTCTCGAGTTGCGGCGAGCAGGGGCTACTCTTCATTGCGGTGCACGGGCTTCACATTGAGGTGGCTTCTCTTGTTGCGGAGCATGGGCTCTAGGTGTGCAGGCTTCAGCAGTTGTGGCTCACGGACTCTAGAGCGCAGCATCAGTAGTTGTGACGCACAGACTTAGTTGCTCTGTGGCATGTGAGATCTTCCCGGACCAGGGCTCAAACCCGTGTCCCCTGCATTGGCAGGTGGCTTCTTAACCACTGAGCCACCAGGGAAGCCCCTGATTATTCCTTTTTCTAATCCTGATATAGGAGCATTATATCTTTGATTTATGTTGCCCTTAAACACAGCAACACTGAGCTGTACCCCTTTATCTTTTTAATCCCATTTTAAGCAAAATGCTACCAACATCCTTTAAAAATTAAAAACAAAATTGTGGTGAAATATACATACCATAAAACGATTTTAACCATTTTGAGCATACAATTCAGTGGCACTAAGTACATTCACAATGTTGTACAGTCATCACCATCCATCTCCAGAAATTTTCCACCGTCCCAAACTGAAACTCTGTACCCCTTAAGCAATAAGTCCCTGTTCTCCCTCTTTCTAGCCCATGGTAATTCTATGCTCTTTCTGTCTCTATGAATTTGCCTGTTCTAGGTACCATATATAAATGGAATCATATAGTATTTGCCCTTTTGTGACTGGCTTATTTCACTTAGCAAATGTTTTCGAGATTCACTCATATTGTGGCATGTGTCAGTTTGTTCATCTTAATAGAGTAGCATCTTAGAGCTAGAAGGGGACTTTCGTGTTTATTTATTCAGTAAATACTAATTAAGCAACTGCATTGTGCTAAATATCATGCTAGGTGCTGTATCCTCTGGTTCCATGTTGCCTTCTGCTTTTCTGTTTCCGGTATGCTGCATCAGAAAAACTAGTGGAGACGCAAACCAGTGACGCTCCTTCCTCCAGGCTGCCCCATCAAGTCTGGGTCTCAGATTCCATACAGTTTCTTTTTAGACATTGGCTTCCATTAGAGATTTATATTTTCTTCATGTTGATGGGTTTCCCTGGGAGAAAAGGGTGGGAAGTGAATTTCAGCTTGCCTAGAATTCTGGGTACTTGATTCTTTAGTTCACATTTCTTGCAGATTCAGGTCTCAGCTTCTCTTTTTACTAATTTCAAAGCTGAAATCTATCATAGTGAAGTACAGCCCAGCCTTTGTGATAGACCAAGGTGGGCCTAGGAGTTCACTTCCAGTGTTGGAAGGACAAAAGAGCTCTGATAGAGGCCCCCGGCTCCACAACTCCTGACAAAGACTCTTCTTGACCAAACCTTGGACAGGCTTCCCTGAACCCTCTTTTCTACTAGCCTTGTCCTTGGGCCCTAAGTCAGTCTCAGCAAAGAATCCTGCTAAGTAATCCCCCAATCCTTGACATCTGATTGAGTTCCTCATCCTCCACCATTGATGTCTAAGTCCTTGGCCTGCCTTTAGCAATAATTTGTTAGGTCAGTTAAGCAAGAATCCCCCCTACCCTGATGTCTCCTCTTAACAGTTTTCCATCCACTGATCCCCTTGCTCTGCTATCTTTACGTATTTGAAGTTGAACACAATTACTCTCTCCTATAGTATCTTGAATAAAATCTTCCTTACAGTTGTAACAAGTGTCAGAATAACATCTCTTTAACACTCTCAACCATGACCCTTGGTTGAATCTACTCCCCTTGAGAAAGTGCAGAAAGTATGTAGATGGTGGGGGACAGTAGGGTGGGAGAGGCTTGTGGGATTTGGGGCACCTAGGACAGACTGAAAGGCCACAGAGTCCTTGAAGAAGTCATGGAGATCATGAGTGTCTTCCACTTGTTCTGCTGTGACTTGGTGGAAAGGACACCAGACTCAGAATCTAGTAAATGCAAGAAAGTCTTATTATTAATAATACCATTAAACCTTACCTTTAGCTCAGATTTCAAGGAAAACTGATAATTTATTCAGACAAACACATTCCTCCTATACCACTTCCCTCATATATTTCTGCCTTTTTAGTGGAGTCATAAGAATTAAGTGTCTGATTCATAACAGAAGCCACAAGCTTTCATCATGACCTGCTGTCACCAGAGAAGGGCTTGTCAAGTGTGTTAAGTGTGTGGTCTTGGAGTTGGCTTGGGGTTTCTTTGATAGTCTTTATTTATTTATTTTTACTCTAGAGGTAACTTCATCTCAGGTTTATAATCTGGCCTCCTCTATCAGTATAAATTCTATCCAGCACTATGGGACTTGCATATTTACTCAAAAGACACTATTTAAATACCAAGTGATGAGCATTATAGCACCCTTAGCACAGACTTTTCCAGCCTGAGGAGCAAGTTCCTGACCTTGTAAATCAAGAGGCTTGGCTTTTATCACTCAAAAGGAATGAAAGAGGCATCTGACATACTGTCAGAGTTTCAAGGGTGCTTGGGAGTCACATTAGCATTTTTGAGGACATGAGACTGCCTCAGACTCCTTATAAATACAGCTTGACTTAGCCACTCTATGACTGACACCCTTGGGACATGAAGTGGATACTGTTCTTTGGGGACCTTATGGGGTCCAGCATCTGTGGCCAAGAAAAGTTTTTTGGGTAAGTTCCTTTTGGACTTACTATTACTTGGTTAGTTCAGAGATATGGGAACCAAATGGATTTGGAAATGAATGGCTGATTATACCTCAAGTGGTATGGTGCTGGACTCCTGTCCCAGCTTTGCCCTTGTGTCATCCTGGGTCAATTACTTCTCTCTCAGGCTCAGCTTTATCTGTGATATCAGGACTAGGTGGTCTCCACAGTCCCTCCCCAGCTTCCTAATTCCTGCCAATACTTTTCCTTCCTAGTTCTTATTTGTAAGGTCAGTTTCAGGCATTTCTACTTTCTTACTCCTATATTATGAATTTCTAAGAATTACCAGAAATTGTTTCAATTTCTGCCATGCTTAAGGGAGAACCTGGGTCATAGGCTTTTTGGCTTCACTTCTCTGTTAATGGTTAAGGTTTGGTGGAGCTTTCTCGTCAGCATTTGGCATATAGAGATTTGATAGGTCTTGCCTAGCCGTAACTATGAAAAGTGACATGCAAGGGTACACCTGTACATTCTGTGTGTGTGTGCATGTGTGTGCACACACATGCACACATGCTCCACACAGAATTCCTTGAGGTTTGCAAGGGAGAGGACATTTGGGAGGTAGGAGAGGTGAAAGGATGGCATGGTACCCTACTAGAAGATTGGGGGGGATGGAGTCAAGATGGCAGTGTGGGAAGACACAGAGTACATTTCTCCCCACAACTAGGGCACCTGCCAGACACTGGTGGGGGACCTTGATGCTCAAGAAGACGGGAGGAACCCCCAAGTGAGTGGCTGGGGGTTGGGCCGAAGCTCCTGCAGTGGGAGCTCCAAGTCTGAACCACTGGACTAACAGAGAACCTCAGATCCCAGGGAATATTCATTGAAGTGAGGTCTCCCAGAGGTCCTCATGCCGGCATCAAGACCCAGCTCTACCCAACAGCCTACAAACTCCAGTGTTGGAAGCCTGAGGCCAAACAGCCAGTAAGACAGGAACACAATCCCACTCAACAACAACAACAACAACAACAACAAAAGAGACAGCAAAAGAATAAGTCGCAGATGAAGGAGCAAGGTAAAATCCTACAAGACCAAATAAATGAAGAGGAAATTGGCACTCTACCTGAAAAAGAATTCATAGTAATGATAGTAAGGATGATCCAGAATCTTGGAAATAGAATGGAGGCACGGATTGAGAAAATACAAGAAATGTTTAACAAAGACCTAGAAGAACTAAGAACAAACAAACAGAGATGAACACAGTAACAGAAATGAAAAATACACTAGAAGGAATCAGTAACAGAATAACTGAGGCAGAAGAATAAATAAGTGAGCTGGAAGACAAAATGGTAGAAATAACTGCTGAGGAGCAGAATAAAGAAAAAAGAATGAAAAGAATTGAAGACAATCTCAGAGACCTCTGGGACAACACTAAATGCACCAACATTCAAATTATAGGGGTCCCAGAAGAAGAAGAAAAAAAGGGTCTGAGAAAATATTTGAAGAGATTAAAGTGAAAAACTTGCCTAACATGGGAAGGGAAATAGTCACCCAAGTCCAGGAAATAAAGAGAGTCCCATACAGGATAAACCCTGGGAGAAACACACCAAGACACATATTAATCAAACTAACAAAAATTAAATTCAAAGAAAAAATATTAAAAGCAGCAAGGGAAAAGTGGAAAATAACATACAAAGGAATCCCCATAAGGTTATCAGCTGATATTTCAGCAGAAACTCTGCAGGCCAGAATGGATTGACAAGATATACTTAAAGTGATGAAAGAGAAAAACCTACAACCAAGATTACTCTACCCAGCAAGGATCTCATTCAGATTTGATGGAGAAATCAAA